ACTGATGTGTTGTGTATTGTTTTCGGAAATATGACTCATGATATATAGTCTATTGTTTAGCGTGTGATTCAACTCTTTTCCATGGTCTTGTGTTAAAAGAAGCATACAAATAAACAAGCAATAAATCCTGACATCAAACTGCAATACACATACTGAAAATTAAAATCACGCAAGGAACGAGTGGTTTTGACTCCTGAGTGGAAACAGGCGGTCACAAAATAGACTGCGGGTCCTGGGATTTAGCAACAAATAAAGTTTGAAGTTCAACAGCAAGCAAAGCAAGTCTGGCATTTGGAGACATTTCTCAGTTTTTACTGACAAACTACATATTTTTACCTGTGGGACATTAGAAAACACAGAAAATCTCTATTGTGTGGAGTGGAGTGGACACACACATAGAGGAAGCAGGAGGTAATGGCTAGGAATACGTGAACATGAGTGGGCGGCAGCAGGATTAGGTAAACAGTTCCGCACTAGGACCCAGCCCTAGTGCCAGCCCAACAATATAATGCCTCATCTTCATTTAATGCCATCGATGCAAATGCGTCTTTGCAGTCAGGTTGTGTTTCTATTCTTCTGTCAACTGTCAACCAATGTGCAGTCGTTATACAACAACCCCTAGATTCAAGACACACAGCGCACATTCTTCCTGAGGCCTATTCAAGACCCCCTCATCCGCTTCAAAGTCTTGGTTGTGTACTTTGGTTTTACATGAGGGTTTTTACTTTATGGCCGATTGTTATCGCTCTTCAAAGTCCTGCGCCATGAGCTGCTGCTGACAGGAGCATCCAGACTCTCTTCTTCATCTGGGACACAAACCACAAGCATCACACATACACAAGGAGCAATTACCACAGGAAGCAAATTCTCAGCACCTGAGCGCACCTCTGACACAAACAGTGGCATAAAAGAAAGGGCAAATGGTATGCAAAAACAAATCTTGGGTGAGCACAGCATTTGGCAAGGTAAATAAGCTCCAGACAGGCATTCAGCACAAACGTTCAGAAGCATTATACGCAACCGTGCCTTTCAGATCAATCAGTCAATTATAGCACTTAGTGATTGAGTGATTCCAATTCTGACAAGAACTATATCTCAACCTCAGTCTTCAGTCAGGTCTTGCAGAACAGCAGTGAAAAACTCCACATTTCTTCTAAAATGCTCCTTTTTAAATCATCAGTGAATGCTCATTGTTTGTACGCAGCATGACAGTAGCTTGGCTACTTCACTTGAGTGACTATTTTCAACACTTTAGCACCACTTCATTACTTCAACCACGGCTCTGCTGGCAGAGTCAGGGCATTCATTTCCCACCGCTCTGCATGTGCCCACAGCCCTACACGCCTCCACGCCAGCTGTTTGTCTGTGCCACCAGACAAGTCAGCATATCCAGGGAAAAGTCATATGAGATGTCTAGAAGTGTCTCTTTAGTGTTACTTCCCAGCAGCACAGGGATTATACTGTACTATATACAGTAGAGTATATGTCTGTGCTGTGGTGGGAATTAAAATGTGCGCATTATATCAGCGATAAAAAGGACTATACAAGGTGTGATGATACCCAACTTTAAGTACTTGAACCCCAGGGGTGCAATTATAGTCGCTGGGTGCTTTAAAAGATTGTGGATGTTTTCATTATTGCATACTTATTATTCTAATAGCCAGTAAACTACCAGCTTTATTACTCCGACTGCACAGAATACAACTTCCTCCTTCCTCAGTCAATTCTAAAACAAAAGGTTATTATTTATTGCAAGTGTGCAAAAGCTAGTTGCAAGAGAGCAAAGAACTGGAACTAAATGGAGAAATAGCTGACAACTCTAACTTACTGCCACCCTACGGCCAACCAATGTGCAATTGTTAACTTAGCCAAACCTTCTCAGAAAAAGATAACAAGAGAGCAAGTCTAACCATCCACAGGTCCAGGACCACAATGTCTCCACTTTAAGGTGGTTAACAGTGTTACATGTAAACAACTTCCAGTTTGAAATCAGTTCAAATGAACACATTTGGAACAAGATGGGTGGTGCTGATGAGGGGATACTTGAGCTCATCTGATAGGGTTGATGTTGTACGTCTCACTGAAGAACGTTGGCAATGGAAAAGCATTAATCTCACACTGTCAGTTTATTTTAAACAGCCATTGATGCCATATTAACTGTTTATTGGGAAGCAAGGCATGTTTCCTTCATGACAAACTCACCTACATCTACATAGCTTGAAACAACATATCAAACATGTGAAATTAACACTGAAGGGTATGGATTTATATGGTTAAACACAGGCCAAGTGCAGAGCGTCTGCTGTGTGAAGTGAGGTTTTGGGTCAGACAGAGGGGTGGGGGGTGGGGGGGATCAGTGCAGGTCACAGGTCACTGTCCACAGGGCAGAAATTAAATCCTCAGGCTGCAAAGCATTATCACAATTTAACAATTTATACAAATGTAACTAACCAACTAACCAGCAGAGACACACCAGCAGAGGGCAAGAGAGAAAAACGGTCAATTGTTATTTGCATTACATCAATACAGGCTACTCATGATCCCTGTGCCTGTTGTCATGGAGTGTCAGCATGACTGAACTTGGACTTTTCAGAGTTGCCCCTGGCAGTCAGTATAGTGAAGGGTTTACCTCATTCACTCACAGGAGCAGTTTGTTTGAATGCCTGATGTCAGAGCAGGTATTAGTCTCACAATCCACCTGGATTGATGGCTGTGTGCAAGCTGTTTCTTATGAAACAACCACTTGCTATATTTTAGTTTACCATGTAGGAAACATGCTTATTATTGCTGCAGATTGTCTGTATAGAGGGCTGAGTAGACTTTATGTTAGTTAGTTAAGTGGAATCCAAGGTCGACCATTCTTATCTGAAGCCAAGTCCGACATAAAGATAGTCACTTAGGCTATCAATCATACATTATGTGTACAGTGGAAACACTCCATAGTGCCAGCTCTGGTTTTGACGCCCACTCTTGTCTGCACACATTTAATTACCACTTCTTACCTTTTTCAGGCTCTCTTTCTGCGTCTTCTGTTCCTCCTCATGTTGGTAAACGGGCATTTGCAGAAAGTCTTCTTCACAGCAAATGAAGCTCACAGTGCATCCCATCCGAGCGAAGCCAGAGCGCACACTTCCAAATCAAACCCATCCAAAGCGTCACCGCTCGGCTCCCTTTCCTTCGCGCCTCCGCTGCGGCGGTGCGCTCACTGGGACTGTATTCCGCTCACACAGGCGACAAATGTGCGCAGTCCGGCTGGCATCACTGCGCTGTCAGCCGAGCGTTACAAATGAGCCTTTACAAGAAGTTTTCAGTGAGTTTCCCGCCCTTGTTTCCAAGCCACACAGAGGTGAGGTGACTTCCCACTGCAGACACACTGAGGAGGACAAACAGGTAGCCTGCAGGCTGCAGTATAGAAAGTGTAGCCCTCTCTCTCCCCCTCCCTCTCCCTCTCTCTCTCACACACCTTTATATTTGTGTTTTCACGTGGTTTTGTGATTGGTGGTTCAAGCTGTCACTCAGATCTGGAAGGGGACTGATTGATTAATAGCTTCCACCTGTGCAAACATTTTAACCTCGCAGCTAGAACAGAATCTGCCCACACACTCGGATTTTTATTTATTTGGTCCCTGGACAGTTTAAAAGAAGGGAACTATTTTATCTCCTGTGTTTTGGCATCAGTTGGTGTCCACCACGTGGGGCCTGAGAGTCCACATGTGGCCCCTGGGCTCATAAATGACCTCCAGTCCCAGCTGATTCACCAAATCACCGCGCTGGGATCAGTGGTTGCACTGTGCAGGAATCCCACGGAGTCCGGATGGCCATGGTCAAGTTCAAGGGCTTTTTCTTTATATGCAGTTATGCTGCCCCCTGCTGGCTGATTGGAAGAATAGTAGCCAAATGCAATTATTTTTCTAAAGGCACACTTTTTATATTTAAATAATTTCTTTTTAACCGTTTTGTGTTGGTATTGCATGTTGTTAGCAGGTGGGAATTGAGAGAGAGAGAGAGAGAGCCCCTTTTCCTATATGTTAACACATATAAAGACACTTTTATATAATCCACATAACTCTCATTATTCAAATTCAGCTTTATTGGCTAATTATATGTTCGCATACAAAGAATTTGCTCTCAATGTTACACACAGTTCCTCTAAAAGTAGACATACAACAAACAAAGAGGACATCACTGAACAAATATAGGTAAAAATAAACATAGATGTATTATCTATTTTTGTTTACTTTTATTATCTATTATAAAAATAGGTGAATATATAAATATTATCAAAAAGTAACAAACATAAACTGTCTATAATAAAAAAAATGTTTCTGTAAATTGTACAAAATAATAATAATACAAATAATCCAAAGGAATAAATGTTGAATGAATATGCATAAAGTGGGTGAAGAAATAAATGAAAAACAGAAAAGGCCAAGACACAGGCTGCCATCTTGGTAGAAATTATTATTATTTAAATTATAATATTATTGTTAAATCTCAGTATGAAATACTGTTGCAACATTGCCTGATGAGTCTGTAGTCTTAAATGTATTCAGGACTAATACAGATAGAAATAAAGAGGAAGATGTTGCCATATAACATATATAGAAGGACCAGAATGGATCAGAGCCATTATAGTAATTAAGAACTGTCAGTTATGTTATTACGTGTTTTAGTGGTGATTCGTGGTGTGTATCCCTTCTTCACGTGGGTCATTGTATGCATGACACTGGCATGTTTGCCTACAAGAGGGTGTTATCAGTCACCTTTAAAATGTCAGCCTCCGCCTCATTGACTTTCAGAGTAGAGAATGAATAATGTAGAACACACAAAAGAAAGGCCAGACGTACAAGTGGATTCAGTTTCTAATAAACAACATTCCTTTAGCTGTTCCTCTTTTGTTTAACACACACTTCTCCTTTATATCACTGGACAAAATCCATTTATGTGTTCATATACACAGAAATAATGGACATTGCTCTTCAAATGTATCATATGCCTGATTTATTTCAGTGCAGCAATGTACGTTTCAGCAATGAATACAAGATACAAGGCTTTATTGCGCTATACAAGGTGAAAGGTAATCAGATGATACACTTTATTTGCTATGAAAGGAATGAAAATGAGGCTGGAGTTTATCCACTTTCAGTTCACACACACAATGAAAACATAATTCAGATGCTTTAAATAGATTCTTGCCTCCATTTGTAAAAAGTGCCGTGAATAATTATCACGCCACAAAATGCATTGCCAACTTTAGATGAGCCAGGTACAAGTAAGAAACACCAAAATACTGATTATAAAGTATTATTTAACTCTTTATTCCAAGTATGGAGCCTGAAGCCTGAGAGCATGACACTTCGCTACACAACAACAGGAAGGAAATTTCATAAAAAGTTTCCAAGAAATCCATATCACCACATTATTACTGTTTTCACATTTCTTATCCCATTGTTTAAAAAAGCATGATGTTCATTCTTAGAAATATATACAAAAATGTTTTATTGACATGGAACATTTTAATTCGATCCTATATGCAAAGCAAATCAAGCTGCACTGTCCCCTCCTCTGTCCACAAAGTATAGGCTCAGTGGTTTGTCTGGTATCAGAACAGTGCGGCAGATGCATTTCAGTTCTTCCATCGTCGGGTCTGGTTTGATTTCAAACTGCCTGATTAGCTGGAGGAAAAAAAAAAAGGTGTTGCCGAAGTCACTTTATTATTCAACCTGGCTGAATGAGGCCATGGCCTCCAAGTTTTTGCATTAATTACACAGAAACTTGGATGGATCATTTTTGACTCATTGCTTTGGGTTATTTTGTCTTTCAGCATTGTGAAGCTAATTAGGGTGCTTCTCAGATCCAGGACAGCAAACTGTTTGCACAATTAAAAGGCTGCAAATCATTAATTTCCCCCCTACATACTGGAACATCTTGTAGCTAGATATTTTTCACAGCAGTTTGTGCTTGTGGAGTTAAAGTTGTCAGGTAGCCATAAACACAATATATAATGCTCTGTGTCTGCAACTGTTTGCTATATATGCAATAACAATAACAACTTTATGTTGTGGTTATGAATCATGGTTTTCTGCTTGTTCCGATGCCCACATGTGGCCAAAAAACAGTTAATGCAGCTTTAAAAGTATTCTAATCGTGAAATCACCTGGTGTATGATCTGCACACACAGTAGCCATGTTTTCATCCAAATATAATTACACTCAGTATACTCTTTTGAGTTTTTCTGGTAGTCAATTCCAAAAATATGCCCTTTAAAGCTTATTTTCACAATCAACTTGTGTTAAATGTTATGGAATTATATTACTACTACCAAGTTTTAGGGGATTTAATAGGAATATCCTTAGGCTGTGCAAAGAATAATTGACCAAATAATAATAAAGAATATATATAATAATTAAAAAATACAATTATGTATCCAACCAACATCTGTGCCTGATTTCAAAGCAGTGTTTCACTGTTTTTTGATGGCATCAAGCTTTCCCACTTGTCACTTACCCGAAACAGAACCAAATACATCTCAAGCTCAGCAATCCTGCGACCGACACATCCTCTCACTCCGAAGCCAAACGAGAGGGTGCCAAAGGCGTTTGGCCTCTCACGGCCGTCCCGGAGCCACCTCTCCGGCATAAACGTGTACGGCTCTGGGAATGTGTCCTCATCATGACTGATGGCATATTGAGAAAACCTGAAAGAGGTCTGGAGAAACAGCAGTCAAGAGATAAAACACTGAAACTCTGATCAAATGAAGGAAAGCCTAAGCTCATGTATGTGCTAAAATTTGTGTTATGGTTCGAGAAGTAATACTTTAAACTTCTTCTACTAAACATAGGTTTCTCTTTGCAATATAATGAAGTTATAATACAATTATGAACAAAAAAAGTATAAAACGTCTAATAATGGTTCAAAAAGCAGACCCACATTCTTTGAAAATTGATATCCACCAATTGTAACATCCTTGTCTGCAATCACTCTGGCGTTCAGAGGAACCACTGGGTACATCCTGCAAAACAAGAACGAATCATTTCATTTGGTGTGGTTTGAGCTGGTTGTTGTTGCTAACTGGTGCAAGAGAAGATATAAGAGTACAAACAGACAATGTGCGAAATATTATGATACAGAGAGTGGACCCTTGAATCTAGATCACCTTCTCTGTATCATGTTTGTACCTCATTGATTCCTTGACAACCGCCCTTAAATACGGCATCTGTGTGACTTCCGCAGCAGTGGGTATCCGGTCTGCCGGTACCAATGTGGACACCTCTTTATAAAGTATGTCCTGATTTTGAGGGTGCATGGAGAGCAGGTGCAAAGTCCATGTGAGGGTATTGGAGGTCTTGACAAAAACAAAAAGGTGATTAAGTAAACAGGCACAGAGATACACACCTCTACAAATATATAACTCACGTATATGCAGAAGAATAATGAGGGATTTAAATAGCAGCCTTAAAACCTGGCTTGAGTCTGCAGGCGATCATGACAAAATAATTCTGTAGAGATTGGTGCAGAGAATCACATTTACCGTATCCACTCCAGCTAATAGAAGCTCAGCGATGCTGCCATACACATCTTTAGTGCTCATCTGAGTGTTTGAGAGGAGGTATGTTAGGTATTCGCCCTCCACTTCCTGGTTGTTGTCCAAACGCCGCTGAATGACCTCCATCTTCTGGTCAATCGACTTTTTAGCTGAAATAAATGCAGAAACGGAAGTGAAGATCACTCTCATCATCAAATAAAACAACAATTTATACCTCATTTTAAAGTTAAAATATAAGGTAATTAGTATGATACTTTTCTTGTCAATGATTGACACCACTCTCATGTCTATACACTAAAACTGCAGCTACAACCCAAGACCGGAAACAGCTCAGAAAGGTGACAAAGTTCACTAAAGCTCACTAATTAACACATTATATTTTCTTTTATGTCTACAAAAGCCAAAGTGTAAAAACAACTCGTGGTTTAACCAGGGGATCGGTGTGGGTAAGCTAACCATCTGATGGCCGTAGCTTCATATCAACATATTTCCCAAAATGTTTAACTAAAGAGGGCATGATGCTGATACTGGTAATGATCCTGATATGAAACAATACACCTTTTTCAGTTAGAAGAACTCAATTGTGCATAATGTCCACAATTTAGTCACACAGAATTTCACAGTACACTTTGACTTTGCTTACTGAAGCGCTATGCTACTGTTGTTTCTGTCATCATTACTCATAAATGTGGAGCAACAGAATAGTGGGAGTAGATTGTTGAAGTTGTAATCTTAGCACTAATGCTAGCAGCAGATCCACAAGAAAGACACTCACATCACTACAACACACTTCAGCTGGGACTCAACTTCTCTCCTTCACAACTCACCAAGGTTGAAGATGCCATCCCAGCCTGCAATGTAGCGCCCCCAGTAGGGCAGTAGACTGCGGCTCCACTTGGGCGTCAACATCACAATCATGTCATTGGAGAACATCTTGGCTATGGCGTTGATGAAGTCCTGCGTGCCTGCAGGGATTTCCTTTTCCAGACACCCAAGCCTTTTCTCAAACAGTATGGAGGCAATAGCTGAGAGGCGAAGGTTAAGAATTAGGATAAGAAAAAGAAATGATTTGATCTGCAAAATTATTATCCCATAGTTTTAGTTGAAAAAAGTTGAAAAGTTACAGAAAAAAAGCATAAAAGGCAACCATATGATTTAAATTTTAATTATTGATTCATCAAGGCCAGAAAACAAAAAGCTTTATTTTGATTTAGTATGATTTTACCATGATTGGTCAATACTATTTGGACTACAAACAACACTTCCGATACCAAAATCTTGTCCTTTGCCTACATATTTTCCATTCATATGCAGACATCTGTTTCAAGATTATGCACATTGCAGTTGATTTTGCACTGAGCGCCACCATGTTCGACGTACCCTCTAGTGCGAAACAATAGAGCTCATTGGCTATATTGGTCACCAGATCTCCTGTGGGGCTGCACTGACGCAGGTAGCACATCTTCTTCATGAAGTCTGTAACAGTGTCATTGAGAACATCACCATACTGTGCAGAATCCTTTGGATGCAACATGCGCTTGTTCAGCACCACCCTGAGGTCGTACCACCTCTCTCCATTCCTGGGAACAGAAATGGACTCGCAATGAGAAACAAAAACAAAGCTGACACATCTTTTTTCATGCTTTCCAAAAGGTTTCCAAATGTGAGCTTTGTATTTGTCCCTGTGTTTATGACATCAATACCAAAACTGACGTTTAGTTAAAATAAAAAGTAGACACCAGAGATTAGTTGTATTTACTGTAGGATTAACTAAGACCTTACATTGGGAATATCGTCCGTATCGTGTAGGATTTAGTGGCATCTAGGGGTGAAGTTGCAGATTTGCAACTAACTGAACATCATTCGCGTCAGGCCCCATCTACAGCCAGTGTTTGCTTTGGCCTTTCTGAGCTATTGTAGAAACATGGTGGTTCAACATGGCGGACTACTTGAAAGGCGACGTGTGGGTCTGTATAAAAATGGCTCATTCTTAAGTAACAAAAAGTGTTGTTTGTTTCTCTATTTTGTTTTCTTGAACCTTGTCTGCCTTATGGACTTTTGTGCCGACTCCCTGTCTGATTTGTTTGCTTGTTTAGGCTGCATGCTCTGGTTAAGACTTTGCGTGCCTGACTAATCCATAAGCCTTTTTGTACTGAGACGCCTCCTAGTCTGCACTTAGGGACAACCGATGGTGGTTTTCATTAATTTGACTATTTACACCTTTTGCTTTTACCACTGTGACATATTAAAATGTCTCGCATGCAAAATGTCTACTTTTACTTATTATATGTTTATGAATTCTGTACAAGAATGAAAGGTAGCACATGGCTTCTTCTGAATAGAGGGAATAGTGGTATCTCCAACTACAGAGACTATGTGTGGACACTAGCAACGAGAATGTTTCAGTAGCTTATGATCAACTAAACTAACTGTCTGCTGGCTGTAGCTTCATATCATACAGACATGACAGTGGTATCAATCTTTTCCTCTAAGAAAGCAAACAAGTGTTATTTCCCAATGAAAATTACATTCCATTTCTGCCAATAGATCCTCCAAAATGTTACACACAGGACCTTTAAAGGGATATTAGCTATAATGGGCTATATAGTAGCTGTAGCTCTGTGTTCTTCTTTAAAATAACTTCTCATGATCTCAATCCTTTAATTGAAAATATTTTGTCACACAACTGATCCCAAGTTTTGTAATGAACTTTGTTGCTTTTTTTACACATATTTGGAACAATCTCTCTAAGAATCCTGAAATTTCTTTTGACTTATCAACTATCATATTCACCATTTCAAGCCCAGCTGATTTATCAGTCAGGCTGATTCTTTGCTAAACTGAGTTGACTTCAGATGCCTATTTTAATTAAAATATGTTAAATGCATTTCCCAGTAAGCAAAGACTGCTGAGGATTTAAACAACAGCCCAGCTCACAATCAATCCATCCCCCTCACATGACATGACTTAGCCCTGGAAATAAAGTATTACAAGTGGGACAGTGGTCACAGGGAAATGGGAATGAATATGCACATCATACAGTCTTCTTACTCTGTGAAAGGCCCATAACCAAATCCTCTTAAGTTGCGGTACTCTTGCCACAGGGACATGTCTCCTCGGGAAGGGAACTTTTCATCATTCCTCATGACTTCCTCCAGCAGCTTTGGAGTGTTTATGCACACTGACTTCGTTGAATCTACGTACATGGGACCATATTTCTGTTTCTCATAGATCTGATGGTGGGAAAAGTGAATGGAAAACAGAGTTAACAGAGAAACCTGTGTGTAAGCAGTTTCATAACGCATGAGATAAGAAGAATAAATATAACAACTTTATCTGCTGTTCCATAGAAGCCTGTAACATGTTAGAAACAACAAAGTTGTCAAATATACTGTGTTGTGCAATACAACAATATATACATTCCACATTTATAAAGCAAGTGACAGCATACCTGAAGGCTGTTCACCTCACAGAACGTGATCCTACAGAGAGGGCAAACTATCCTCTCCTCTATGCGGGTCAGCTGAGACTAGCTGTTGTTTGCAGCGGTTGATAAGGCAACCAGCCTGACATTTTCTATTATGCATTGTCTCACTCCTAACACATCCTACTCCCTCCAACAAATTATCAAAATTGTCAGCAGGTCAACTCAGCAACCACAGCAACCACAGCAAAGTTATATCAGGGATTTTTGTATCATATAGAAAGCATGCAACTGATTAAAACAACCATGCATCACTGTGGCTTAGACCTCCTGATCGTCACCTAGAGACAATGGCATACCTGTAGCTCATGTATACGTTTGTAGTAACCCTGAAAAAACAGTCTGTACATCAGCTCCAAGAAGCCGGCACGTGGGAGGTCCTCTACTGTCCGAAGCTTGTCCTGCAAGGTAGAGAGGGACCCCGGGGCAGAGGAGGTGCTTTCCACCCCCCTGGAGCAGACCTGGACCACAGCCACAGGGCACGGCAGCAGCCAGCTCCCATTCCTCCAAGCCACAGTCCGGGACAGCCATGCAGCCATGACGAGAGCAGACTAGCAAATACACAGGAGTCCTGTTGCATCTGAGAGACCAGCAGCAACAGGGAGGAGCCATCTTCATTAACTAGCACAAGGGTCAACCAGGCTCCAAGGGCCATTCCAACCTTACATATCTGTGGTGCATAATAACATTTCTGAAACTCCACTTTTACTGCGCTGGCAAGTAGAAAAACACTGTAATTCTGAGTAATAGTTCACTACTAAAATGTATGGTAAACATATTCTTGTGATTGTACTTACATAAAAGGATACCAACAAAAAAAACCACTAAATAACAAGTTAATGTTCCTGAAAACAAGATTTTGTAGAGAATATACAAATATGTGATCCACGATGACATGTACATTAGGTCAAGTATCAGATATTATAATCTTGAGAATAAGCTAAAACTAAAGATTCAGTTACACAATAACTTGCACTTACACTATAAGTCTCAAACTCTCAGAGATTGCACATTGCACAAATAATGTTAAAACTATTTTCTTTGGCTTTATCTTGATTATATAATAAAATAAAATAGATAACTTTTGTTCTGGGTATGTACTTCTTGGAAAGCACTTAGTTGTTTCTTCATTGTATTTTGGCCTGTGTTCTTTGGTGGGGAGGGAGAAAAGCCTACATTTTTTAAAGAACATTTACATGCTTGCTGTTGAAATTTTGGAGTTGAAACTAATAGGTGAAATACTAAAACAGTTCAAATGGAAGTGAAAAAGGTTTCTGATGAAGCACTGAATGAAGTTGAAATGTTGAAGAGGAAGAGACACAAGCAGTGGATGTACTAAATGAAGGTTAACTGAGCTGTCAAGTGTGATAGATACAAGCAGATGTAAGATAATGTGAGATGGCGATTATGTTGCTGTTGTCATGTTAGTCTGTGTATTAATATAAACTTAATATTAAATTAAATTAATGAACTTATAGTAGAACCTTCATTCTGAATCATGGTCTGCTGGATGCAGGTTGCACATGAGAAAAGATTTGCTTTGCATTCTGTGTTTTCAAAACCCTTTTGCTTCAGTCCCTTGCTCAAGGGCACTCTGTGATAGTCCAAGATGGTAAGATGGAATGTACTGAACAGAAAAGTATTTATTTTATTGATCAATAAAAAATATTTACTAATGTTTCTCATGTTTCTCTTTATTCAGTAATCAGTCTTCAGTCCTGTCATTCTTGTATTTGCGCAACATTGTCTATAGATCCTGCAGGGTCCATTTTGTGCAGCAGAAAGTGTCCTTGCACCTGGGCAGGACTGATCTCAGAGCGGGCTGCTAACGCACGCTCTGCAAAGCGCTCTCCTTCAGAGGCAGGCTCGTCTGGGTAGAACCGCCGGAACATCTGCGTAAGTTGCCAGTGAGTGCAGTGACCAATGTAGTGCTTCACGTCAACACGGCCAGGTCGGATCAGTGCTGCGTCTAACCTGCGTGCAGAGATTACAAGCAACACGGACAGTTAATGTCACAGAAAATACTAAATGTGTGTAAAACTTACCTGTGAAATGTCAAAGAACACATTTGGGTAGCTCTGATAAAAAGGAATGTCCATTTTAAAATGTATTAATGGAACTGAGTAATTGGAGTTTAAATTATAGTTTACTCTTAATTATAGAGTAATATATTTAGTCTCTCTTTTTAAACTCTTTTTGGACTCTACCAACTCCTGAGAAAAATATCTCTCTCTTTAGTATTTAATGATATCATTTACGAAGGTGGACAAGATTGGTAGAACTGACCTAGGAGCAGCGTTGTAAAAAAGACCAAATAGAGCGGGTTGCTTCAATGTGATAATGTTAAAAGGTCTTTGTGGATGTCCTGACTTTTCTTAAACATCAGAGTCACTGATTTTTGCTCTGTTGTATGTTTATTATGGCTGATGTTTTTTACTTTTTCTTTTTTGGCTGTGCAATATAAAAAATAAAACAATTCTCTTACAACAATACCTGTCAATGAAGTTGGTCGTCATAAAAACAATTCTGGCCTCAGATGAAGCCACTCCGTCCAGAGAATTCAGCAGGCCACTAAAAGTCAGTCTTCCCATTCCCTGGTAGGCCAGAGGGTCTGAGAGGCAAAGGCAACAGGAATTTAAAAGTCACCCTCAAAACAGAATCAAATACAAAGACAGAGTCTGTCTGAGTAGTCACAGCTTCACAAAATATCCCCTCTTATAAACCCCAAAATATAAGCTGATACATAAATGAAAATCTTAGGAGTGAATGTAAATAGGTGCTACTTACTCTCTGTGGGAAGCAGGTCTCGGCTGACAAAGGCTGCATCTACATCCTCCAACAGTATGATGCTTTGCTGCGGCGCCACGCTCAGCAGGTGGTTCAGACGGTCATCTGAAAGGGTGCGGTCACTCAGACTCATCAGACAGATGCTGTAGCCCAGCTCGCCCGCCAGTGCCGTGCTGAAATATAATGATTTACAAAGACGTAGATGAAATTGTACATAAGTACTTGACATACAGTCTGTCTTTTACTCACATGGGTAAAGCCGAAGGGTAAGAAATCCAAAGCACACTCACATAAAGCTGCTTTTTCCACATCCCGGCGGACCATAGAGCAGATATCCTCTTCTGTAGGGGATGCCTTCATAGACATAACAAACATTAATTAAGGCATTAACATAGTCATACAGATGATAATCACAGGAAAGTCTACCATATTTTGCTTTTTAAAGCAGGCAAAAGTTATTTATTAGGAACATTCCTGCTGTTTTGCATACTTCAAATCACATATGCTACCATTTTCCAAGCATACTACCTCCATTCCAGGCATACCAGGCAGTAATTCATTTCTATGGTTTTGTTTCTGTTAAAGGTACGCTCTTGACCCCTGGTACTGTAAGAGTGAGCAGGAACTGCTTTGAAAGTTAACTACAGGTCTGCTACAACTCTCTTTTTTAAATCAACATCTTACCCTCTTTTAGAGTGTTCCATTTAACTATTAACTACCATTTTAATATTGTCACATGTTGCTTTTACATTGTGTCTTAATGCCTTTTATGTCTTATGTGAAGCACTTTGAATAAACTCTGCGTGCCTTGATGCATCCAAGAGCACGTGGGGAACTGCACTTGCACAAGATTGCAAAACGTTTGGGCAACTGCCTCTCTCATGCACCAACAAGAAAGACATTTCATAACAAACACCTCACATCGATAACTGTCAGGATATAAAAACGTGAAATATATAACCAGGTAATAAATAAACTCAAAGACAGCTTCCACAGAAACTGGATGAGTAAGTTATTCTACCTCTGTCTGTGTACCACTTGGGGTTTCCAATGAACTCCTTCACATCATCTACGATCCTTTCACCCACGCCCGACTCCAGGACCACGGAGCTGAGGGGTCTGCGCCGCCGTGGAAACCCAAAGGGCCTCCACTCTCCACCCATGGCTGTGTACATCACAGTACGTCCCTCTTCCTGCTTCAGGGCCAATTCTCTTGCTGAAAAACAGGATTGACAACTGCACTCAAATGACCTCTGAATGGTAAAGAGATGCAACACAAAGGCAAGGCAATATTTGTGCGTCAAACCTTTACCTTCTTGTAAGATATTAAAGAATATTTGTCTGTCTCTGCCTAAAGCAGTGAAGGTTACAGACTCCCACGGGGTTCCTGTGTTCAGATCCAACATCTGCTTCTCTCTGGTCCTCTCCACCCTGATCCACTTCCTCCCATACCTGCAGACCACAACGAATGACAGAGTCAGACGTTGTACTGTTGACAGAGCAGATTAATAAATGGAAGTATTATCCGTGTACAGCTTTAAAAAAGGGGCTCATGAGTTTGTTAACGTTTTGGTAAGATGCAGAATTAAGTTTAAATCTATTTAGAGAACTCCTCTGACCAGATGATGTGGTTCCCAGGGCTTGGGTGGAAGTCAAACTGCGTGTGGACCCGTCCACTCTCATGTGCCAGGTAGGAGGTCTCCACGCTCAGGTGCTGGGTGTGCTTGGCGTGCTTGGTGATCCAGCTCAGCAGCCAGTGGTAGCTCTTATCCCTGCTGGGGACCTCCAGAGTGATCATGTAGTTCCTGCGGAAGAAGATCATTCCCACCTGGGCACCTTTCCTGGCCACTGCCAACGCCGTGCCAACCCCAACGAGTCCAAACCCGGCCCCAAAGTAAGGGTTGTCCTTCAGGCCGTCCAGAAAGTCTGACAGGGGCATGTTGCTGATATCTGCACAGCCCCAGTCACACTAATATATACACACTATATAGTTGTCCTAACACTTCTTAGGAGAACAGACCTACAAAGTGAAACCTCATTTAATCTATGTGACAGTCCAGACTCTATACTGATATCCAGTCAGTATAAAAACCTCATTCAACCCTTATATATAACATTATATATATATACTGTCAATGCTTCCAACCTGGGAGTCCTGCAATAAAATAACAGCTACTTTCTAATGAAACATCCGGTCATATTAAATCATTTGCTTATAAATCCCACCGACTTGCCTTCTTTGTCTTCATCTCACGCTGCTATCTTGGAGACTTTTATAGACAATACCTTTATAAATGCCACTGTTGAGCCAACTAAAACCCACATGCGTACATTATTTGGATATACTGGAAGCGACCTCTGTTACACGTCCTGCGTTTCACAAATATCATTCCGACTGCCCGCAAAACACATTCGTTCCCCCTCCCCTATTAATGTTGCCTTAACATCATTTTGCTCGCAAGATAAGACAAGAACTAACAAATATACATGTTTTGGTGGTTAGTGTAGTTTTACTGTAGACAATACGGAGCGAAGCGGGGACATGAACCAATGGCAGGAACTCAGAGTCGGAACAGTTTGCGAGCAAAATGACAAGAGGCTAACGTTAGCTCGGCTAGCGGTAGCGACGATGTTAGCGTATTGATATCCCACTAGTTTATATTATCATTAAAAAAAGTAAGTTAAATTACAGCTACTGCCACTTTAGTATGATTTAAAACAACTCTCTAACTAAAAGCAGTAAAGGCGGATCCTACGAGCTGGATGCTGTTAAACTAATAACTGTTGGTTTTGTGTGTTTCAGATAGAATGGACCACGGAAACCCAGGCAGTAGGTTGAATTTATGTTTGTACTGTAATGCACCACCGTGTTTATAGCTACAACCATGTATGTAAAACGTTATATATGTATATAATTATACATATTAGTCGTTATTACATTATTACTACTATTTCTTAAGATCTTCTCACAATGCATTTACAACTTGGGCTGCTTTATTTTGCACATTTTTGATAAAGGTGGAATCAAAACAGCATTATAATGAAGCACTGTACTGCTGCAGAGATGATCTGGTCTACAAATCTTGTTCTCCAAATGTAAGATGTTTGTTTTTTATACAGTTCCCCCCAAAAAAATGTCACATTATCAACATTTTAAATGTTTTTTTCTTGGGGAAAATTAAAATTGTGATAGCAAACATGATCACTCCCAGTGACTGTGAATCGTATCAAACACATCTGTTAAAATAGTTGCAATATGCTTTTTTCTACTATATCGTGCAGCCCTATTTGCAAACCTCACAGCCGTGTTGTGTTTTTACTTTATTATGGAGCTGAAAAGATTTTTTGTGGTGCCCCGGATACACAACATACATACAATGATTCACAAAACAATGATAATAAAAAATATACTACCATCTATAGTTACAAAACATCACGGAGACACCAACCATCAGTTGCAACATATCAATAATAAGACATATGTTGGAGGAGTTGTGGTATCACTATTTAAAGCATTCAAAGACATCTTAATAATTTAACCAATCTTTGAATTTGCACAAAGACACTAGAGCATTCAACTATTCCAGGCTCAATAATCGCAAAACAATTTAAACTAATCTTTCCAGTTCAGTATTAAAAACATTAAAAACTAGTAATTAGAGCACTATATAAAGGTATTGGTTGGTGGTATATCTAACAACACACTAACACATGTGAACAATAGCTTATACAGTATAATGTATTGTGTACATGAATGATATTAAATTAATGCAAAACATGAGTTACAAATGCCGCTTTTAAGTCTGTCACATTGTAACTAAGTGCTGTACTGTTTATTTTTTTCCAGACACAATGGAGACACAGCAATGTGAAAAATGTGGACAGAGTTTCTCAGACAATGGCTTGTTTGTCTCTCACCCCTGTTCAGATAGGATGACGACTCCTTCCAGTCACAAACAGCTGGGGAACTACAAGTGTTCTCAGTGCAGTGAGGCTTTTTCCACACCGGCTATCCTGAAACGGCACTTTAAAACCATCCACAGTGGGCATGACGCTAAAGGCCCGTTCCCCTGCGCTGAGCACGGCTGCCAGTTCAGCAGCACAGAGCGTCAGGAATATCAAGCCCACTTGACGTCCACACATGGTCTCACTCTTATTCCTTGCACTCTCCAGTCGTGCAAAGCGTCATTCCTCAAACAGGGTGAGATGGAGAGACACTTGCGGGACCACATGCCCTTCGGCTGCTTTCAGTGTCAGTTCGTCACTCAAAATGAAAAAGGCCTGAGTGACCACCTCTTGGAGCACAACCATCCGCCAACTTGTGCTCAAGGTAAACAGACACTGCAAGGAGTTATGAGGACAAATGCAGAAATCTTGTTTGTCTTTGCACGGAATCTGTGCTCTGTTTTCAAAAAGAGCACAGGTATGATTTTGTTTTCCATAACTCTACTGCTCTGTCGCTGATCATAAGTAGATTTTACATAAAAATGTTGTCTGTTTATAGGGAACGAGACTGCAGCCACAGCTGTATGCGCTAATGAAAGCCACCAGCCTCGGGTGTCCGGCAGGCCAAAAAGAAAACTGATATCCAAGCCAGGTTATGCATCATCATTACCAGATGACAGGAATGAGGAACAGCCAGAGAGGCCCAAAGTTAAAAGAGTGAGGAAGGCAGTGAAAGGGGAGAAACCTTCAGCAGTGGACGCTGCACCACTGCCATCCAAAGGTATGCACACCATCTGCTTGGTAGATCTTACCGAGTAGTTATCAAGTTTAAATGTAACAAGAAAGCACAGAGAAGTGACAGAAAAAATAATAACCAATGTATAATAGTCAATGCAAAAGTAAACTTTTATCCGTAATGTCTTCACTCTGTGGGACAAGGTCCATTGAATTGGAAACAAATAATTTCAGATGATTTAATCATACAATCATTAACAAATATCTGTGAAGTATGTAAATAAGTAAGGGATGATTTGTTCAGTGCATCGACTAGAGGGTCATGTTGTATCAGACTACGACATGTCTACCAAATGATTTACCAAATATTTATCAAACATTTTAATGTGTCAGTGGAAAATATGCTTACTTTATCACAAACTTAAATTAATTTCAAATGTTCTTGGCCATCAGAGTACCTTGCAGAGGGATCAGAGCACATCTATCGCACCCACACCTGCCCCAAGTGTCGCCGCTGCTTCAAGATGCGCTCCCACCTGCAAGAGCACCTCCATTTACATTTTCCTGACCCCAGTCTCCAGTGTCCCACATGCAAGCGTTACTTCACCAGCAAGAGCAAGCTACGCACACATAGACTCCGTGAGGCAGGTGAAAAGGTTCACCGTTGCCAATTGTGTCAGTATTCTGCCGTGGAGCGGAACGCAATCCGCCGTCACCTTGTCAGCGTGCATGCCGAAGACGCAGAAGATGGCGTAAACAGCTATCCATGCCCCACTTGTGGTCAAAGCTTTCGCCAGAGCAAGTTGCTTAAGGCTCACATGAAGACGCACAACGTCCTGTCAGACAACAAGCCATTGGCCTGTTTTCCAGAGGGTTGTTCTTTCCAGAGTTCTTTGCGCAAAGAACTTCTTAGACACACTGCTGAAGTGCATGGCGTCAAGGCTTTAGAGTGTCGTCATCACGCCTGTGGTGCCGTCTTTCAAAGTGAGACGGACATGGAGGCTCATTATCGGACGCACCTTGCCTACCACTGCTCAAAGTGTGACTTCTCTTGCTCCAATAAGACAGTCTTCCTCCAGCACCAGCGCCATGGTCACCCAGGAAGTGACAAGCTTTGCTGTGACTTTTGCTCCTTTGTCACGTTTAACCCCGTAGAGTTTGAGCAGCACATTGGACATTTGCACGCCAACGAGAAGATCCATCACTGCTCTCAGTGCAACTACGTGACCTCACATAAACGTGGCTTGAAGCGACACATGCTGATGCACAGTGGTGAGAAGGGAATAAATATTTAATCTAATTTTCACCTTACAGCATCTTCTGTTTTTACATGTGTTGTTGGGGTAGCTCTTGTAAGAGCTACTGCTTTTGGTACGACATCTCCTGATTTAGTCTTTTTCTTTCTGTAATAGGTGAGAAGCCCCACAAGTGTAACCTGTGTGACTTCAGGTGTCGAGATGAATCCTACCTCTCTAAACATATGCTCACTCACTCAGACGACAAGAACTTTATGTGCGCTGAATGTGGATACGTCACAAAATGGAAACACTACCTGAATGTCCATATGAGGAAACATGCTGGAGACCTCAGGTACATACGTCAGTAGCTTCCTGTACAACCTGCTGGGTAGAGAGAATTATTTAAAAAAATTATGTGTTTGCTGCTGAGCACAGTGTACAAACTGTGACTTATTTACGTCACTCTGACTCTCCTGTTACTTTGTTTCCATCTGGGATCCCTCAAAAATACTTTAACTGTGCATTCACGCTAGCCTGCATATCTTGCGTTCCTTTGGGGCATTGGAAGTGCGTGCGTAACGCTACATATTGATCAAGATGCACGAGTGAGTTAGATAGTTAGTTAAGCACTATATCATAATGTGAAGTAATGCCGAAGATAACCCAGAACAAAGAACCAAAACAGTGATGGAAAGTTTTGAAGAGAAGCAAATCTACTGAATGATAGAGCCGCTGCCCCTTTTTCTGCCATGACCTCAACATTAGCAATAGAGAAGCCTCCTCAAGTGCCACCATAAAAATTTTTTAATTGGTTTCAGCATTTGCAAAAGTAGGTTCATCTACTCCAGTGGTTCCCAAACATTTTTTACCATAAAACAAATCTACTCTTTACTTCTAGGTTTATAAGCAGTTATATCCTTTGGTCGCTGAAAACACTGGTAATAATTTAGATAGTATGAAAGGAAATTTGCATTAAAGTGTGCAGACGTTATCTCTCTGCTCTGTATAGTGTGATCTGGAGAAGGGTGTGCAGTATTCTATATACTACTGTTGTTATGAATGAACTTCCTGTCTCCTCTCCTAGGTATCACTGTGATCAGTGCTCCTACCGCTGTCACCGCATGGACCAGCTAAATAGCCACAAATTACGACATCAGGCCAAATCACTCATGTGTGAGATCTGTGCTTATGCCTGCAAGCGCAAATATGAGCTTCGCAATCACATGTTGGCCAAACATTCTGAAGAGGACAAACAGCCATCGGTTTATAAGTGCAAATACTGCACATACACTACTTGCTACAGACAAGCCCTTCAAAACCATGAGAACTGCAAACATACCAAGCTGAAAGAGTTTCGGTGTGCCCTCTGCTTTTATTCCTCCTTCAGTAGCATCAGCCTCTTCCTGCACAAGAAGAAAGCTCATGGGTACGTACCAGGGGACAAAGCCTGGCTAGAGAACTATGCTGCAAAGGAAAAGGAGAAGAACTCAACTGAGTTCTTGCAGAACTTTTACAATAAGCCCTCAACAGATCATGAGCAGTCTGAACAATCAACTTCTGAAGGGCCTCCACCATCTCAAAGAGAACAATCTGATCTTCCTGGTTCAGCAGATCACAGTGCCAGCAAAGAAACTGTAACTGATTCACAAACTGTTGATTCTGTGGATGTTTTTGATGTTGTGTCTCAAGAAGTTGTCAATGAAGGTATTTCAGATAGTCCTCCACCTGCGAACAATCCTGAGGAGTACTGTACTCTTGTTTTAACGACACTGGCAACCACTGACTATCAGACCCCCTCTTTGCAAAATGAGGAAGAACATTGTGCAAATCAAACTTCAAGCTCACCCAATTTAACCTGTAATGCACCTGACATATCACAAGAGAAGGCAGACTTCTCCACATCTTCATCAGAGGAAGACAATGTAGCTATGGCAGATGCAGAATGTGAACAAAGTGACTTGGAGGACAACTGTGAGCCTCTGAATAATACAACTCAACCAGTTGAACCTGCAGAGTGTCTGCAGTCTCAAGCACCTGAGGGGGAGGATGATGATGGGACAATCAGTTCTACTTTTCCATCTGGGCAAAATCAGCCATTAGAATCTGAACTCCGTCTAAAAGCACTGAAGAAGCACGACAAGGACCAAGCAGAAGCCATGGTTTTGGAGGGACGGGTGCAGATGCTTGTGGTGCCAACTAAAGACGTTTTTCGATGTGACAAGTGTCCTTATGTAACCAGTAAGGAGACCACTTTGAAGTACCACTGCCAGGCTTTGTGCCATGGTAGGATAAAGGGACACAAGTGCCAGGCCTGTGGTGCACAGTTCAAACAGAAACGAGGCCTTGATAGCCACCTTGCAAAGAAGTGCCCAGCACTTCCGCGAAAAGCAAGAACATTTGTAGGAATTTCAAGTACATGTTTGGCTACAGAGGACAACTCTATTGTAGGTCAGGAAGGATCAAAACAGCTGGATAAGGGAACAAATCCCAATCAGACAGTGCCCCTATCTTCACAAAATAGGATTTGCACAGATTCAAATGATCAGGAATTTCATAATCAAGAAGCATATACATCTAATTTAACAAAATCTAAAGGCTTTGTTCATAATGCTTTTAAATCCAGTGAATCTGGACATCGGCAAAACAAAATTCAGACCAAAAAAGGAAAAAAGCAGTTATCTTTAAATACTAAACAAATGTTGGTTTCACTGCAGTCCCTTTACACAAAAAACGATGGGAAATTCAAATGCAAGCTGTGCAATTTTTCATCAGTCAAGCTTGCAACAGTTGAACGCCATCTCTCAACCTGCAGAAAAAGTTTAAGGAAAAACGAGGACCAGATAATTTCAGAAACAGATGATGAGTGCGGTAACAAGTCTGTCAAAGAAAAAGAGGACGTGGTGGAAGAGCGCAATGAAAGAACTGGGAAAGTTCCTCCTAAACATCAGATCTTCTCTTGTCTAAGCTGTGCATTTAAATGCAACCAGAAAAGGGCTTTAGACAGTCATGAAAAGAGAGGTTGTTTGAAGCCAAATGAAATCCAGTGCAGCACGTGCTCATTCGTAGCCAAATCTAAAATTTCTTTGACTCGTCACATCTTGTATGTCCATAACAAAAAAAAGTTTGGTGTTGCTAAACCTAAACTTTTGCATTGCCAGCACTGTACTTTCACCTGTAAACAAGAACGATGCATGGCCCAACATGTTGCGCTCAAGCACAAAGGTGCGCAACCTCACCATTGTCAATATTGTCCTTTTAGCACTACAAGGCGCTATCGCTTGGAAGAGCATGAGTCTCTTCACACAGGACTCGGCCGTCACAGCTGCGATATGTGCGACAAAACCTTTGGTGCTGTGACCAAATTGCGTCAGCATAAGATGCGCATCCACGACAAACAACCTACACACTTCTGCTCGCTCTGTGACTTCAGTGGCTACACGCTTGACGATGTAAGACGGCACAATCTCAGATGCCACACGGGGGAGTTGCACCATGCTTGCACTCATTGTGAGGCTCAGTTCAGTTCAGAAGTTGCACTAAGAAACCACTGTAAACGTGTGCACCAGCTCCAGGTGTGTTTCTCATGTAAGCAGTGTGACTTCACATGTAGCAGCGAGGTCACACTGAAGACCCACCAAGAGAGCAAGCACCCGCAGGTAAAGTGCACCACCTGTCAGGAGTCTTTCAGGACAAAGGAAAGCCTTGTGATTCATCAGAGAACCCACATGGCACATCAGTGTCACCTGTGCCCCTTTGCTACCAGAACAAGGCAGCTGTTAGCTCAGCACCTTGTGAATGAACACGAGGAGGGATCTCCAGAGGACAAGCTTCTCAAATGCACCTCCTGTCAGTTTGCTTGTCGGCATCAGCTGGTGTTAGAGCAGCACCTCCGTTCACACGGAGGCAAGCGTCTGTACAAATGCACAGACTGCGAGTATTCAACCCGGAACAAGCAGAAGATCACGTGGCACATCCGTATACACACTGGGGAGAAGCCTTACAGCTGTGAACAGTGCAGTTACACCTGTGCTGATCCGTCCAGGTTGAAGGTAAGCTCAGTTAGAGGATGAGTTTATTGTTTGTAAGATTAAAGTTAGTTAGTAGTGCTGTAGTGTTTCATATGAAATACAATACAATTGGTTCATTCTTTTCTTTACAGGAATCAGTACATGTCTTGGTCACAATTCTTTAATAACCAAAGGAAATGTATCAAACATTTTTATTTATTTATGTGTTTGTGTAAAAAAATTTAAATAACTGAAGTGTCATATCAACACATGGTTTTATGGTGATGTTATGTGCCTGAGACTCCAGGGAGTTACAGTCCTCAGCAAAGACATAGTACAACACATAGACCCCATAAAACAATATGTCATTTGTACACTTTTTGTACATATCAAATCAAAAGTTATAGTTATAGAAAGAGTTATTATACAGTTATATATATAGTTATAATAAAAGTTATAGACTCGTTACCTTATAATAATAAACAAAAGTAATTTATATAATCCATTTACTATAATATGACTGTTTCCAAAAATCAAGGAAAATGAAAATGATAGATGTTTATTTTTCTGTGATTTGTAATCCATTTTCAGCTTCACATGAGGGTTCACCAAGATGAAAAGAAGTACCTTTGTCCACAGTGTGGCTACAAATGCAAGTGGGCGACTCAGCTGAAGTACCACATGACCAAGCACACAGGTAAAAAGGCAACAATGTTGATTGTTATACTTTGTACTTTTTAAGATTAGATAACTATGATCATTATTAATGCTTAGTAAGTTAAGTTAAGTAAAGTTTAGTAACACATAATATCTTTTCTAACTTGTTTTTATAAGTGAGTTAACAAGTTAAGAGAAAAAAAACATGTCTTTGTCCTCTGCAGGGGACAAGCCGTATGCCTGTGATGAGTGTGACTACCGCACTAACAGAGCGGATGCTCTCCGTGCCCACCGGGACACGCAGCACTGTGACGTGCGCCCTTATGTCTGTGAGAAATGCGGCAAAGCCTTCAAGACTAGTTTTATACTGAAGACCCACCAGCGTCAACACAGTGACGATCGGCCATACACGTGCGGCCAATGCCACAAGGCCTTCCGGTGGCCGGCGGGTCTCAGACATCACTACCTCTCACACACCAACCAGCAACCTTTCTCCTGTCGCTACTGCTCCTACAGAGCCAAACAGAAGTTCCAGGTGGTCAAGCATTTGCAGAGGCATCATCCAGAGAAGTCCGTAGAGCAGGGCGTGGTGAGGGACTCTGAGGCCGTTAGCCTGACCCTGAAGGAGGCCTTGCAAGGGACACTTGATGAGAAAGCAAGAGAAGTGGAAGTGGAGGAAGGGGCGGCCGATGAAGTACAAGAAGTAGTTGAAGAGGTTGTGCAACAAGGGGAAGACAGTGAGACAATATGTTGAAGAGAGGGCACAATAGATGCAGTGGTCAGTTCAAGTGTAGATGGCTATCATTTCCAAAAGGAAGTTAAATCTGTTAATATTTATATTGGACCACTTGATTTTATTGTACTGTTGAGGCTAATAAAAACACATCGGTACATATTTAAAGGAAAAGGTGTTCTGTGCTCTGTGCAAGTGAAGTGAATAAATGAACTGGAACGATGAGTCCAAAATGTTTGTTAATGACAAACTTTACTCCATAGTGTTGAACCATTCAGAAAATTTATTGCATGTATTTACAGGCCTATACTGTATATACATACATTTACATGATAGGCAACATAAACTTGTGGAATTTGTACATAGGTATATAGAAATAACTCAAGCAGGCACTTAATTGGAGAACAATATGATGCAAAGCTATGGGTACTTTAATTGTTTATACTATTGGTAGTATTGGTTTATTTTATTTTATTACTTTTTGTACTGTGGACTATACACTTTAAGTTACTTCCACATATACAGTACATTTAAAGGCAAATGATATATTAAGACATTCTAGACATGCAGCAATCATTTATTTATAGAATGATGGAAAATATTCATGTGTCAATATGAATAGCTTGCGGTCAATATTTCCATAAAAAATTGAATTGAGAATTGCACACGTTTGTCATGAGAACAGAAATAAATACAGGCAGACATACATGGACAGTAGCTAGCTTTTTTTTGTCACTGCTAATATAATCCTCTATTACAGAAATCCTTGTTTAAGTGAATAATGCTGAGTCTGATTTCTGACATGTTACTTGCTGATCGCTTATTCATTTAGTGGGGAATGTTCAGTATGATACATTTTCCACTACCCTTCTTTAGCCTAGGCCCAATATCAGATAAAAGTATTGGTGTTCTCATCCTTCGTCAGGTAAATGAAGACGCAGGACCAGCCCTGGCTTGATATCCTCAGATTTGACTTGTTCATGTGAGCTCAGAGATGCTGATGTTGACAAAGAGGGAGGAGGGAGGGATAGCTGTCCCGTCTCTAGAGAGCAAATGTATGTGCCGATATCCTGGAAAGGGAAAGACATTGAGAGGAATTTGGATTAGAAAAAGCTTTCAAACAGAGTAGTAGTGAGTGAATCCAGAGTTATCCTGCACCTGGTGTTTGACACAACATATGATTGTATCCATGTATATAAAACTGCAGTGAGCTGTAACCCTGGTGGTTCCAGAGCCACGCTTTGGCTCACTTTACTCTTTGCTCACCTGCTTGGAGGCATGTAAACGGAAGAGTAAACTGTCCCATGAAGTCGTTCCTGGACGCCTTATCGTAGTCCTCCACCACAAAGCGAACCAGTGCCAGCTCAGGGGTGTGGATGACAAAATTTAAAGTTTCATTCCACACTGGGTTGAAACCTGCAGGTAGAGGGCAGTAGAGGAGTGGGTATGACCAACTGGGCTGTGACTTTTATTTACAAATGTCTTTTTCCATTTATCTTATTGTTTTTACACTAGTACTAATTTTTATTTCACATCCTGGCCTTCATATCATTAAAACCAAATTAAATACACATATTAGCTATATTTAAAGAAACCAAACACACTCTCACCATTGTTGTTAATGTGACTGGTCTCTTCCCTGGCCTGGTCCTGTGGCACTCCATAGATCTCCACTCTGACCAGGGGGTCTACAATAGAGCCCTCTTTTTGATTGACCTTTGGTAGCTGCTGCCCACTGATCACCTGAGAAACACACAAAATATGTGCATTTCAGAAACCACAGCACTGTGCTCATACAGAAAACACATCACAGTTTGCCTCTGGTTTTCTGACATTACATTACATCCTAACAACCTGCCTTACTTTTACACAGTTACACGCACTGACAGTAGTAGTGACCCATTACAAGCACAAACGTTCATGTAGTTTTGAACCTGTATGGATAAGCGGAGTGGTTTGTAGCCTTGCTGCCCGTCTGGTTTCTCTGGACTGAACTGAGTGCTGCCATCTCTCATGAAGTCAGGCTTGAGGACGTAGCCGCAGCAGTCATTCTGCCTGAACAGCCCATCATTCAGATCCATTTCCAGACCAGCTGTCTGGAAGTTCAGAGCCACTTTGGGAAAGAGGAAGAAAGGAAATAGTTCAATTAACTGGGATAATTTTCTTTTTACGGTAGCTTGTTGTATCACATGATTTCCCAGACTCAGAGTAATCTATCTAGCTGTCAAAGTTCATGTGAGAGGTCCAGCAGAACAGGAAGCATCTGTCTTGTCGAACTCCTCCAGCTGGGGGGGTTGTTGTTCTGTATTTGACCCTGACCTCTAACATCCTCAGTGAGGGCATGCACAAAGAGAATTACTCCTCAGTATACTGCCACAAAAGAAACTGTGTATTTAAGAGCATCAGTGTTGTGTTCTCACACAATTTTTGTTATTTCCATCTTTAAATTGCTAGCAATATGAGCTGCATACAATGTAAGTGCAATCTTTCTGGTTCGATTTGGGTGGGGGCCTTTATGGCATGTCATCATACCCATCACACATTCCCCATGTTTCCTATCATGTGTCTACTGTTAAATAAAGGCAAAATGCCAAAAAGATTGTCTTTATTTCGCTGGAGTCCTCTGTGGGTTATTAAGATTTTGTAAGTAATAATAAATAGTATTATATATGTATTATATATAATAAATTATATAAAACACAATCATAATAATAAACTGAATAATAATCAACATGAATATGCAGGAAGACAATTACCCCACATTGTATTTATTGTGGGCAGTAAGGGACTGGATAGTGGATATTTTGGGGCGCTGCCTGGCCCTAAAAAGGTTGAGAACCACTGTTACCACTGCTTCACTTCCAGCTTTTGCACTCGCTTTGTGGCTTTTGCGGTTTGTTCAACACCTCTGAGCCCCCATACTTTTGACACCAAAAATCTAATTAAACCAAATAAAAAATGGCATTTGTTATTTGTTAGTTATAGGTAAATTGGGAAATTAAATTGAGGTTGACGTTGTCTTCATGTCACATAGGGCATCAATTTCAAAAAGACATAATTCAAACTTACTGATCCTGAAAGCTCTTAAACAAATGTGGCTGAAATATTAATATGCCTCCACATGATTTCAGCCCCATTCAATCCAACACAAATTAAGCTGAAGTGTTGGAGTGGCTGTGGACATCAGGAAGCTCTGGTATTAAAGGCTGGAAACAGCAGACGTCAGCGATTTTTGAGGAAACGTTTTACAGTTTAACCAGCAGAGGGAGACCTATCTCACCTATCTGGCAGCCCACATTCCACATTTCCTGCGGGTTGTAGTTGGAGGAGTCCGTCCTGAGGCCACTGGGGTAGATCCTGCTCATCTGCTTTGTGTTGTACTGCACAAAATCTGTGCCTGAACACAAGAAAGACAATGCATTTCTAAAGCATGAACACAGAGGAATACACCTGTTTCTCTATCTATGACTCAGATACAGTTAAAAATATATTATTATTCATACTACTAACTAAAAAGCTACACTATGTTGGTACACATACAAAAAATAGGCATCTGAGGAATATGACATCCACGTTATATTAAATATTTCTTCCTTCTTTTACAAAATACACCTAATGTTCCCTCATGTTCATGGTATACCTGCTTCTTTAGCGAGCTTCTTGGCCTTGGATTCAGAGAATGAGGACATCTCATAGCATTTGCCGTGTAAACGAGCATGCTCAAAGCCATGGAAGTGCACACTCTTGCAGTAAACCACCAAGTCGGACAGCTCCCTGGATAGTTTGGATTTCTGCAAATAGGGAGAATAAATTAGTCAACTGTCCTATTCACTATATCACTTCAAACATTAATAACACCTAGGGTGAGTAGTGGCCATGTAATTTGAAAGTAACCCTGGAAATTAGATGGTAAATGGACTGCACTTATATAGCACCTTTCTGTCATTAGAAACAGAAACTAATCCATCCACACACATTCATACAGTTTGGGGTTCAGTATTTTACTCAAGGACATGCAGCATTGAGATGAGAAAAAAATAACATGATAATTTGTTCACAACTGAACAAAACTGAAAGCAATTGGAAAAAAAGTAGGAAATTGTTCTGGACAATAATACATAAATAAGCAATAAGCATAATTATCTCTTAATTTGTCTTAAAGTTAAACAAAACAGCTAATAACTAGACCGAAAGAGGCCAAGTCATAAATGCTGATCTAATTCATTCAATAATCTTATGAAAATAATATATATTTAGTGCTAAATATTCATTTTGTAATAATTGCTTAAATTAAGTGAAAAAAGTAAAGACAACACTCAGAGGAATGAAACGAGATGATAGCTGCTTGATTACAACAGCTGGATATTTACCTGCAATTATATTAGAATATATTAAAAACTAATTTCTGTAATTATCAATTGCATGTGTGTGGCTTTTAGTTTACTGGGTTAGTGCATTGATACATTTTAACAGAACAATTTCCAACTTTTTTCACACTAACTGGTTGCAATTTTGTTAAGTATTGGACATAATTGTCTTTCAGTTTCCACTTTTTTTCATGTTGTTTGGTTGCAATTTCATCTTTTAATTACTACGTAATTAGTATTTAATTAGTTGCCTGTAATTTACAGTGTATAACATTGCTTAATTAAAGCAGCAAAGTAATCTGGGAAAGATGAGTAGAATTCATTCTCTCTGCCTCATCAATTCTAATTAAATTATTAAAACCACAAATGCTTCCAGTTAAGCTCTCTCTTCCCAGATGGGAACTGCTGTAGCTGCACTAGGCAGATCACTAAAATTACCACCCTTTAACCCTCACTGCTTTGAATTAATATATTCTTGGTTAACTTGCTCAGTTACATATGAAATACCTAGATATCTTCAATTAGATTTGTTCACAGGGGACTGTTTTTCCCACAGATAAGGAGAGGCACACTGGATGCTGTTTTCTTTCTCACTTCACTATCTTTCTCCTTTTAAATATCCCTGTTTCCTGTTTCTTTTTACTATCTCGCTTCTTCTTTTACTCCTGTCTCGCCTCACTGTCTCTAATGTCCCAACCCAGTTTCCTGTCTCTCTTTGCTATCAGCCTCCATTCACTTTTGTCTTGATTCATTATCACTTTTGATGCTCTCTGTCTTCTGTCTTTCTTCACTCTCACTATGGAAAACATACTTAATAAGCAATACAGTCTCTCTTGAATTAAAAAAAAGCTTGCATCAGTGTAATCTTAGATTACAGATCATAAAGTATCAAATTCATGCTCTGTACCTTCGCATTGTGCTCCAGACTCTCAGCAGGTGGGTCGTCTGAGCACTCACCGTCGGCCATCTCTTCCTCATCACTAACTTCATCTGTCAGGGTTTCATCGAGACACACTTCTAGACCGCCAATCTTCTTGGCTTTCAGCAAAATTTTCCCCTTTAGTTCCTGTAATGAACACCAACGCAGACACACACTGGTGAGAGCAGTTTGTCTACATGCATACTGGATGTGATAATAGCCTCTACTTTATAGTAGTTTTTAGATGTAGCTTTACATACTTTTTTAATGACTTTTTTTAATTTTACATTTTTTTGTTGTACTAACTATTTTATTTATGATTCTTAATCTTGTCCTTTTTCTTTTCTCTTACTATGTTGATTGTCATGAACCAAAATATCTGTTGGGCAATAAATCTGATTCAGATTTTTCTGTTAATTCGTTTGTACAAATAAGTAGATTTAAGAGTTTTATCTAATCCATTTACATAAAGAAATCCATTAATGTTTGCTGTATGTGTTGGATTGCAGGACAGACAAGCATGAGAAGTTTTTGAGTACCCAAACTACTTGTGAAGGTCCATCATCCTGCACTTTGCTGTCTTCTTCTAACTAAATGCAGCAATGTACCACTATTTAATTGCTGAAATCCTCAATGGAATTCCCCATAGCATTTATTTGCCATTACTTCAAGTTAGCATTGATTGTCTTAAGTGCTCTAATGGAAAATAGTTTGAAAGTTATACTATTGCTTTTAGGATCCGTGGAAGATGGATCACAAAGCACACACAAACCATAAATCTTTAAAATGCCTCTGGTGGTACCTACGTTTTCCCCAGAATGGGTTGGGTATTTGCTGAAAACATCCCTAAAACCTAATCACTAACTCAAAGCAGAATACAGAAGCTTAACATCACACTATAAACCATTTAGTCAATGCAGGTACTGACATTAAAACATGACTAATTGTAACATAACCATAAAATATGTAACTGTAAGCTTAAAAATCACCAAAATTGAGTTTTTTTCTTAGAAACAAACTGTAAAACCTGCATATTAACAATGTAATTTAAGATTATAAGTTTCAACAAGACATCAAGCCAGCGACTGTGTGGCTTTACATTTAGTGGTGCTTTAGGCTAAATGCCATAATGCTCTCAAAGACAATGTTAACGTGTTCATGTTTAGCATGTATAATGTTAACCATGTTCTTAGATCAGTGTGGTAGCATGCTAAAATTTGCGGTTAGCCATGTAATTGGTGCATGGCCTGACTTTATCTAACATCATTATCAGGTTGAAATTGCAATTTGTCAAATGCTTTGGTTTATTTATCGAACAGTTAGTCTTGTTTTCTGACAAATCAATAGAAATTACAAATAGCTTCATTTTGGGGCTGATTTAATGCTTAGACAAATGGTTCCAATAAATATGCACATTTTAAAGAGGACATTGTTGAAAGGGGAAATGAATCCCAGGGGGCTTCGCCATATGAAGTGCACATTTGACTCTAACCTGTGGAGAGGGAAGCTGTTGAGGGATCAGCCCATCCAGCAGGGTTGTCAGTAGTGTGTCACCCAAGATTTGACTGAGGTGCTGGGCCATGACCGTCTGCTGCTCAACACTACAGTGATTCTCAAGGGACAGGATGACTGGGAAGTCCGATACCTTAAAAATAGAAAAGAGAAAAGAAAAGTGGCTTTTAAAGCATTATGATTTCTCTCTGTCTTTGAAATTCAGCTGCAGCACGTAACAGTATTGCATTGTGTTTTCATTACAAACACATTTGCACATTCCTCCAGTTTCTTCAATATATCTTCCTAATATAAGTAGGAAAGTTTCAGTGGGATAATAAAAGAAGTGGAGACACAGGAGAAGTTCCTGGTTGTTTTCCATATAGGTCAGTCAACGGGGCTACATTTGATTCCAGGGGCAGGGAAGGTTACCAGCTGCTCCATCTGCGTTTCACACTTCTCTGGACACACCGACAGTCCTGTGAGTGGAATCTATTACTGCTCTCAGGGGTTGGTTTGCTTTGTACCAAAAACACATTTTTTTAGGCACTTTCAGTGGTCTGTAGCCATGCAGTATAGAGAATGAGTGTATTTAGTCCATTACAAGAAGAAGTCCTACTTTATACTTAAGTAATAGTTCTGCAGTAAAATGTCCCCTGTTATGGACATGTTATTATTGCCTATTATATTGTTAATAGTGATGCATCACTGTGTAACTGAGATACAGTTATCTAGTTTAGTCTAGTGTTTCCCAACTAAGGGGCCGGGCTTCTCCAAAATCTGAGGGGTCATGAGATCGATTGAGAGGAAAGATGAAAAAACAAAGCTCTCATAAACAAATTTGTACAAATTACTGATCATGTTTTTCTAATTATTATATATTTTTTTTGTAAAATATTTGATAATTTTCCCTCTTTGGACCTGAACCCCAACCAGACACCGCTTTTATATAAGAAGTCACAGGCCAAAAAAGGCTAGACATCCCTGGTTTAATCTTAAATAATATGTTGTATTTTATAAGCTTATATGTTACATTTTTAGTAAAATCTTATTCTGTAAAGTTACTAATATAGTAAATAAAGTACAATATTTCACTCCACAGAGATTAGTAAATGTACTTAATGTTACTTTTCACAACTGCACATAACACACTGTCAATAGTTTTTTAAGGGCCTATTTCTTCTATTCTATGCAATCTCTTCACAGTTAGGTCTGTGGATTAACTCAACTGGAAAATTGATTCTTGCAAGATGTTGCTTTAGAGTTTAATATCAAACCCTGCATGGTTGCAGAAGGTAAAATACAGTTAATAAGCAAATAGCGCTGCTCACCTTGAAGGCGTATTCTTTCAGCGTTGAAATGACGTCTTTAAAAAGAATCTTGGAAGTCAAAGTGTGACCATGATACACAACCGGTTCCCCATCACTGCCGTCCCAACAGTCCACCTCTACACAGCGGCAGCCTCTCTTCAGGGCCCTACACACACACACACAAATGTAAGATATCGTCATTGTTTTGTTTCAGTTTAAAGTGTCACAATTCAGTCGATGAATACACAATTTATATCTTTTATTTTGTCTGTCTGAGATGACTTAGACAAACTTGTGAAATCCTACATAAACTGTGCTGCATGTGGTGTGTGCAGCAGCCCTCACTTGATGTATGCCTCCAGGCTGCTGTGTCCTCGCAGCTGGTTCTCCAGGAGATAGGTGTTGTGTGAGGAGGAGATGAAGTAGTGGCTAAGCGGCTGGCTCATGTCCTGGTGAAGCTGCCGATGCTCAGGTTTAAATATGGATCCCTCCTGTGAGCACAGGTACATCTGGAAGCCATCAAACGTCATGGCGCCTTGCTGCTTGGCTGTAAGATAAAGATGCACACTCCAGGTTAACTTGGCCATAAAAACTTTGATATTTATGCATACAATGAATTTCCAAAACCTGCAGCGACTATAAATAAAAGGCTTCAGTATTCACAGATTGAGAGGCAGCATTGGTTACGTGGTGTAAGTATTGGCTGAGTTGGTGGAGTTTAATAAATATAAGTAGACTGAAAAGAAAGACCATGACCATGTTAGCTTGCTGACGTTGGCATTTACGTCAAATAATTGTACAGGCTCACAGAGATGCTAGTGTTTGTCTAAAATTACAAATATAGTTTGAGTTATAGTTTGAACACTAACTGTGAGTATAACTGTGTGATTTCACTGTGCGTGAATAAACATTATTAGCATTAAAATCTTTTTCAGTGTCATTATGGGGGGCGGCTCAGGCTGAGGGACTTGGCAAACATGAGTGTGGTGAGTTCAAGTCCAGCTCGGACCATGTTACAGAGTGTACTGACTGGATGTTGGACTGTTAACTGCTTAGGGTGCTAATTTGACAGCTGATATGTCTCCACTAATACATGTCTATAGGTGCATGTGTGTGTATTTCAGGCCTATTTATGTGTGTAGTATGATTACTACTATACTATAACACCAGAGCGTAAATTGAATTTCCCTAATAAAAATCCCTAATAACATAATACTCCATCACAAAGTATTTTTGAATATACTTATTTAATATAAAAATAAAATGATTTACCATCAAGCCTAGAATCCATTGCTCTGTTCAGTCAAATAGAAAGTGAAAATGTACACTGATTTAGTTAAATTTCTAAGATTGGGGCAGGGTAACATGTTTCAGTAAGTGGTAACATATTACAAGTGCACATTTAATGCAGAAGAAAGGGTTGCCTATCAATATTTCATCAACAGTAAATGCACAACATTTCAAAGCCTTGTGTATAATAATGTAATATGACTAAAATGTCGACCCTTAAAAGCTAGAAAATTCGAACAGATAGATCACATTAAGCATTTTGGATACAAAAGGTTACATAATGTTAATAACAACATCTACAGTGTACATGTATTGATGTATGAGGTAGGTGTAAATCACAAAAGGCAATAAAGTGCAACCACTCTGACACACTGAGAGGATATTAGATATGTATCTACAATAAATATTTAATATTAAAATGGTCTAATATTACATCAATCATATGCGGAAGTATTTTAGGGTAGGGTAGTGCAATTGAGCATTTCCTCTTCAGGTTCCAGCCTGTGAGATTGAGGTAACACATGAAGATGCACTGCTGTCAGTCAGCCATTTTTACCTGATTCAGATGGTTCATAGCGGTCCGTCAGCTCCTGGGCGTGCTGGGCACTCTGCTCTCCCTCCTGTTGCTCTGTCCTCAGGAAGTTCTCCAGCTCCTCCAACATCAACTTCTCTCCATCTCCGGAGAAATCCTGGAACACCTTCCACACTTCATCCCTCTGAGTCAGCATCTTATAGAAGTGGACAAACTGCTCGATTTCCAAAGAGCCACTCTCGGACTTGTCAGCCATCTGTGGATATAAAGGAAGATGTTCATGCATTTGTTGAACTGTGCTTTTTTTTTTCCCACCAAGAAGCAAGAATATCCACTCACCGTGAAGAGGTGCAGAGCATGTTCCTCATTCATCTCTACGTTCATCATCTTCAGCAGTTTCCGCACCTCTTTGAAATTCATTTTCCCATCTTTGTTTTTATCAGCTTTATTAAACCAGTCCCAGACCCACCTGAGAAAATGCTGAGGGAAATGCCAGCTCAGAGGAGTTCAACAAAACTATTTTAAAAGCTATATTTTCCCATTAGGAACTTTAAATATGCCGTACAATCAGCTGGAGAGTTCTAGAAAATATAAAATAAAATTGTTAGAGCAAACTTCAGTTTGAGTTTTCTTTTGTTGTTGTCTGTTTTTTGTTTAACATTACTTCACCAATCAATCCATATCTATGACTCTTTTTCAGGAGTTTTTTTCATACCTAACTATGAACATAACATACCTAAATACCTAACACAGTGACCTTCTACAGTGAAAGGATACTGGTCTAGCCTCTCCTTCTCATCCATCGTCTGAGTCTTGTGAATCAGCTTGCGCACTCCCTGGATCCAGGCCTGGGCCTCCTCTGTGGACTCCGCCACGAGGTCCAGGTTGCCTTGGCGACCGTGAAACACCAAGGTGAAGCAGAGGTCAGCAGGGAACTCTTCAGCAATGCTCAGCAATACCTCCGACTGGTGGCCCTCACGCACTGCCTCCACCTCAGTAATTGAGACTGAAACAAGATCAGCGTATGGTTAAAGTAACAGTTCAGTGCTTGGAGGATTGTACTGTTTTCATTATTTGATGCATTTCATATGTTTCTGTATAAGTTTTAGTGGGAGGCATACACTAAATTTGTGTAATTCCTGGTTGTTTTAGTATTTTGTGTTTGTTAGCCCTTTAAGAGGCATCTGGACTCGCCAGATCACTAAATCGCACAAAAATCCATCTTGCAGGCTTCAGTGTTTGTAGGTACAAGTGGTACAGAACCAATCAGAACCAATCGTTTACAGTGGGCTACATCACAGCTGGATTAAATTGTAAGGGGGCTCTAGAACAAAAGTTTTTTTGTTTTTTGTTGGATTCCTAATGGTGAATTATTCCTTTAAGTACTACTTTTATCCCCGCTGATGAAATGATTATGTTAAGCCTTGGACTAAGCTTAAGGTTAGGGCCATTAGGTTAGGGTCTAGTCTTAGGAAAGAAAACCAGCTTAGGATACAGTCTGAGAAGGATATGCTGCTTGTGTTCAAGAAAATATTTTATACACGTGAATTGACCATGAAAGGAATGTGAACCCAATTTGCATGCATGCACATAGTTCAGTACTCACAAGTGGAGTGGCCTCTCCCTGCCCATCTGGACTTGTACCAGATCGTCAGGCCGTCTTCCAGGAGGCGGAAATGCCGCTGCTTCTTCCATGAACGGGACTTTACTTTTCTCAAAGTCGACCCTGCCATCATCACCTTGACATGGGGATCATCTTGGATACCTACACAGAGTTGTGTAAAAAGTCAAAGCCCATATTCATGATAGCTCAGAACTTACACCATCAGGAGGATTTAACTAGTTCCAGTGATTCTGCTATTGCTGATTCGCTGATCTCAATGTCTATTAGACCACAAATCTTCAAACAGATCGCAAAATCATTACAATTACAAGATCTTCAATCTGAGTGAATAACATTTACTTACGTGAACCTTCAAGATCCATTGCTATTGTTGAATCATGCCAGTGGAAATGTGCTGCTAAAAAGAAGCAGATGTCAGCAAATTGTTTCAGATGTTTTTTTCCCTGTTTCCAAAAAGCTCTGTTCATTCAACCAATACATAAACTTCCTCAATACAAATAATTACAGTACTATCTTCACTTGTCCACAAATGGTTCCTGGGCACACTTTCAGCAACATCCTGATTCTGATTGATACATTTATAAAAACTTCAGTTCTCTGTTGTTGGACACAAAGCAGGTTCATGGGTGTGGTTGTTTGTGTACTTGTGTACTGTAGCAGAACTAGATAAGAGTTTAAGGAAGGAAATTAGATTTTCACTCTGCAAATGACTTCCCTGCTGATCCAGGGATGAGACCCACCCATCACCTTAAATAACACACACTCTGTTGTGTCTCATAAAGTTATAATGAGTTAGGTTGTGGGATGGTGAAGGGAATCCTCACTGTTATTTTCAACTGTAAGATCGCGGTTGAACGAGGGCATCCCTGAGCAAAGTACTGAATCCCTGTAAGGTCAAGGTGTACTGAGTCTTATTTCTGTGACATGAAACTGGGGCAAACAGAACACACATTTTCTATAGGACTATAGGCATTAAGTGCCAAGGTATTTCCAGGACGAGTCAGCATCTAAATCTTGACCCACTCGTGCCATCAACCTACTCATTCGTTTAGCAGACTGAAAGGCTTGTGCATGGCAACTCCTGCGGTCTGTGTGCTGACAAAGAAAAATCTTACACACTCAGCAGTCTGTGCTCGCCTCAGCCTGATCAGATTGAAGCTTGATTTATCGACACGTGGTTGTAATGCAGTCACTCTAAGATTATAATTTCCAAATTGTGACCCTGCAAAAGAAAGATGGATGGATGGATCGATTCTGCATTATTAGATCCCACATCATATGTATATTTTTTGGCCAGGCTGGTAGCAAGACCCTAGGGACAGCAATCTGATCATTGGTCAGTCCGCCACTCTGGTCCAGACTTAAATATTTCCACTAGGTACTGGATGGATTACCATGGATTAGCATGAATTGTAATGACTTTGATGATTTGATGACCAAGTACCTGCAAAACTAATTACATTACCATCAGCTTCAGCTGTACTTTGTGTTTAGTGCTAATTAGCAAATGTGTAGAAGAAACTACCTAACTACTACTAACAAGAACACAACAATTCTTATTTTCAGATCATTACACACAAATGAAAATATACATATTAATATTATTTTCCACTTCTACCAATAGATCCTCCTAAATGTTACACACTGGACCTTTAAAGCTTTATTCTATATCTGCTGAGTTATACAAGATCATTGCTTTATATTTCAAGTTAATTCTTAGCGTGTTTTGTGTGTTCAGTGTTTTGTAACCTATACAACCGATAACCATCCTTCTATCTAATAACATGTCTCATTAAAATCAGAGAGAGCCAAACAGAAAAAGACAAATTCACTCCAGATGTTCTGCTTATCAGTGAAAACGGATAAACTCCTGCCATCTCTGCTGTTCACTGATAAACGTGGATCAAACACTTCCAGAAAGGGAAGGTTTTCTAAAGTCTGTATATCTATGTTCCTGTCTGACAGCTATCCTTTCCTTTCATTGTCTCCTGAAACAACAAGATTGAATCTTAGGTTCTACGTGCTTCACAACCCCCTGGTGCCAGCCTCCCCCTCCCCTCCCCCTGGCAACAGGCTCTGACCACAGTATGACTGTGGGGATGCGAGGAATTTATTCACAGTTGCTTCACAATTTAATATCACACTCCTACTGAAAAAACAGACTGACCATGAAAGCCAGGCTCATTTTCCACAGCTATTTGCTCCATAACCTAATGTGCGCTTTTATGTTTTCGTCTTTCACGGCAGAGCCACGTCTTATTTTCCATCCAAGTTTTTTAAGATTCTGCTGCTGACAGTTAAACACACACTTTGTTTCAGACTTCACGTCCAGACTTTTAAGCTGCAATCAGGTCACATTATGTTGTTTTATTTTTAGAACCATGCTTAACTGTTTTGGATAGGCACTCTCCTAAGGCCAGATGAGTCACACAAGGCCACTTCTTCAGGGAGTTCACTGACCACACACACAGACACACAAACACACAAAGACACTAATGGGGATAACTGAATGGATGGAAAGCAGGAATAAATAACTCACCAACCAACAGCTTTGTACTTTTATCTTGCGTGCTTCTAGTCAGTAAACTAAATCAGTTTTATCCATCAAAGGAATGTCCCATTCCTCTCGTACAGTGGGTTTTGTGTCTTAATATTTACCCATGACTGCTTTTTTCCTGCACGCAATTATGTGAAGAATGCAACAAATAAGTCAACAGGCCGTGCTCCTCCAATAAAATCCATATATAACTCCAACCCGCCACAGGGAGAGAGGCTTGTGCACAGTAAATTAGAACCAGAGGCAGTAATGTGGGACATAAAAGCATAACTTCGGCACAGCCTGTATGCAACTGCAGGTAAAGAAAGAAAGAAATGCTCAAACTATAATTTGTATTCAGGTCAGGGAAAAAGAGTTATACTTACCAAAAGTACAGATCTCACAGGGATATTATGAGTCAGACCTCCAGAGGTGGGTACTCTTCAGGAGATAGCTCTCCCAGGGAGGGCCTCAGATACTGAGGGGTAGGACCCTGGATGGCCGGCCTGAGAGTAGGATCTGGGAGAGGTTGATGTCACACTGGCCCTGTATGCTGAAATCCAGACTCAAGCAGAGTCCAGGGACTGTTATTGTAGCTGAGCTCAGGGCCTTAAAAGACTGGGAGTGTCTGAAGGGAAATCTGGCTCAGCCTCCTTCTTCCCTCCCCTTTCTCCACTCTTACTGCCGAGTCTGAGAAACCTGATTCCCTAGTCGCTGCTGCCGCACACTGGTATGCTCCACTCACACCCCTCCTCATCCTCATCCTCCTCCTCCTTCTTTATACCCCCTCCCCACCAGCCTTCCTTCCTTTCCTGCCACTCCCTCACTCCACCATCCGCAGGCCCCTCAATGCATCTGGTGAAGGTCACTCCCCTCAGTCGGCCTCGTTCTGTCTGTCTTTCTCCTTCATCCTCTGTGTGATTGTGAATGCTCTGCAGACTGACTCTCATATTTCTGTACCAGCACTGATAACGGGTAATACAATTGTGGGAAAAGGCCTGATGTTTTTTGGAAAGAAGCCAAATCATAAAACAATGAGAAGTACATAATGTGCATGAAAAAGAAAATCAGCCTCTGCAGAATTAATCACAAGTCAACAAAGGATTGATTTTTTTTTTGCTCCATTTAACTGATAAAACAGTAACTCAGGCTAAATCAGCTTTCTGATAACTAAAGATTCCGATAAAGGACTCTACTGGAGAGCTTGGCAGTGTGCCACATACTGGAGAGCAGAGCCTTGATTGGTAGACAACATTTAGCTTGTTGCAGTATAAAGTATAAAGCCCACTTTAATTTATATTTCTCCAACATTCATGTAAAATGTTATTAAAGTTTGGTTTGAACCTGTTTTAACATGCAAACAAATGGGGGAATGATAGTGGGAGGCAATGTGGACAAAAACATCACTTTCCCATCCCATTCTCAGGCCAGTCGCTCTAATGCACTCCTCCATTTGAAAGGCTCCCTGGACCTATAATAACTTTAGCTACTGTAGCTCATTCCTCATAAAAGGTAAACAGACAAAAAAATACGAAATGCATACTTAGGAACATCTCCGATGGGAATCAGATTTGCTCACAAATGGAGGGCTTGAGCGTAGGTGTTTTCACAGTACATGATGCTCATCTCTGTTGTTGTGAGGAGGATAATGGAACCTGTGGGGGCAACAATCCGTTAATGTTCCGGTAAAAGGAAGCAAAGGCTAATCAGTGTAGTCTGTGGGGCTGTTAGACGGAGCACTCAGTGAGCACAGGTAAGCGTATACTTTCTTATCTGACTGACAAGGAATGAACCTGGCTTAAAAATAACACCAAACCTTTGACTGAAATGTCCCCCAATTAAAAATTTGAATTATAGATTTAAATATAGAGAAACAATTAAGTAATTAATCAATTAATCAGCATCAATTTGGATCATCATTTCAGTCAGTTTATAAACAATAAATGGCAAATATTCCCCCAGCTTTAGATCAGAGGCTGCTTTTCTGTGTTTTATATGATTTTAAATTTAACATATCTTGTTTTTAGACTGTTGGTTAAGCAGTGGTGGACAGTAAGTAATACGTATATTTAGTATATTTAGGTAAGAAGTATATTTCAGAGGCAAATGTTGTACCTTTTATACAGTACATTTGTTTGATAACTTTACTTTCCAGATTCAAATTAATGCTACAAAATATATAATCCACAAAACATTGTGATATTATTACGTCTATAAGACTTTATTGATCCCTAGGGGGATGTTCACAAGCTATATATAGTAACATATATAAAATATAAATAAATAAATAATGGCCCATCTTTATTAGCTCCAACATTAAAGTGATGCACACATTAATGCGTCAATAACAATAATCCAATAATAGAATATATATTATTAGATATTATTCTGAAATGGGACATTATTCTTCATAATGAGTACTTTTACTTTTAGGTATACTTTGATGCTAATACTTTTGTACGCATGACTTTTACTTGTAACTAAATATTTCTACACTGTGGTATTGCAACTTTTACTTTTAAAGATCTTAGAGAGTACTTGCTGCTTTGGGCTCTCATAACTTGCATTTCCTCCTGTTTTTCTGCCTCTAACAGACTAAATAATTGATTAACCTGTAAGGAACATAATGACTTGTTGCAGCCCAAACCACACTGACCAAACCTTTTGTGTCAGTCTATGAGGTGTCACAGTTTAAGCCTAAGTACCTCACTGTCTTAATCTTATTTGTTAAGTCTGGAAATTAATAGAAAAATGTGCATGCAGCTTTCTGTAGAGGCACAGGGGTGCAACTCTGCTTTTTCTTGGGTTCTGTCAGTGTTGAGTTTGCATGTTGTCCCTGTACATGTGTGGGTCTCCTCTCACAGTCCAAATAAATGCCACACTAGTTAACAGGAGACTCTAAATAGGTAGGTGTAAATGGCTGTCTGTATATATGCATCAGCCCTGTGACAGACCAGCAATGTGTCCAGGGTACGCTACCAAATACATGGCCAATACAAAACTATATATATATCCTCTGTGTTACTAAACTGCTGAATACACTGTAATATTAGGAAAAAAAGACACAAGTCATGTAGAAGATTAAAAAGTCTTATTTGAAACACAAAAAGGAAAAGAGTAACAGCTCCTACTATGAAGTGGAATGTTACAGAAAGTTACAGTGATAAACGGGAAAAGACCAGAGCTGACCGATAATTCGGAAGAGCCAATATTAACAATCAATACTGGCTTATCTTTGATACATCAGCAGTGATATGTTGACGGACATCTAGATAGTACTTGAAATGCAGTTAACTTCAGCAATAAATGTTTTACAGGCTGCATTTTATTGTACATTTGGCCATTTTTAAAATTATTTCAAGTTGCATGTATTTTTCTGTTACTTGTAATTTTGAGTAAACTTTGCTGTTCAAAAATGACTTATTGTTTTGATAGTGAAGATGTTTAACAGTACAATATCAACCCCCAGACAAATCTTTATTACAACTCTTTATAAACCAAATTTCAGGGATCTTGCCAAAATATCATAAACAATTTCCAGTCAGTATATCATTATTGTAAATCCACTTTCTACTACCTGCTATCTGGTTCTTAAAACACAGAATTTCAGTTGTGATAGTGACCCCATGTGTGGAGGTGACATACTGGTGTACATTAATCCATCTATCCAAAAGCAAAAAAAAAACCTTCCTCTATTATGTCCTTGAATTTGCAGGCAGTCTTAGCACCACATTTGACAAAATACAAAATCTAGACAGTGATGCGAGAGTCCCTCTGTGTCAGCTGTGAAACACACTTTGTCCCCGTCACTGCGGAGCCAGTGGGATGCCTCTGGCGTCTGTGACTTGTCCCTCCTGCAGGTTCTTGACCAACTGTGCCAGCCAGCGTTTGGTGGTGGTGTCGTCCTTCAGCACCTGGGCAAAGGTGCTGTCTTTCAGCTGGTCGGGCAGACACTGACGCAGGGCTTCTCTGGCTCTGAGGACCACATGACACAAATCAGTAACTTTTCTGTCAACAGCATCTTGTTAGAAAGCAGAAAGCTTCTAATGTTGGTGGCTTCCAAATGGCAGTGAAAGGTAAACATCTTTTAAAGCAGGGGTCTTCAACATTTCAACAAGGAACCCTTATAAAGAGAAGGAGGGCCCCCCCAAATACCGTATAAAATTAAACTGGGCCTACAATAAAATGGAGGGTGGCCTATAGTGCCATGTATGAACATACCTTGATATCATGTATACAATAATAAGCTATTAAAATAATGATTAACAGATTCATATATTTATGTTTTTTCTTTGGATCTTGTTAATGGTATTTTCAGCCACACCTATATTTTAAAAAATTAAAAAATTCATAATATTAATCAATATGATTAAATAGGTGATATTTAATTATATTATATTAGGTGATAATCCTCCTGCAGTAACAGTTACTCCCCCTAGTGGTTGCAACCTCTGCTGAAGAGAAGAAAGCACAGCCTCTCTTCCAAAATGTGATTTCCTTAATATGCATTATTCAGATTACTTAAAGGGATATCAGCTACAATGGGATTCATATTTTAGGTTGCTGAACTATATTGGTAAGCTTCACGCTTCCTGCAGGAAACTGGTCAGAGGAGTTCTCTTTGTTACACATGGTTGATACAGCTTTGTGCTCGTCTTTAAAATAACTTCACTGATTCATTGATGCAAACACAAATTCACCAGATCAATATATATCGTTACACTAACTTCAACTCCATGCTGACTTTATTGGTCAAATGTATATCCAGCTGCAGGTTATCCAACTATATGCAGCCTGCTGTTTGATTGTGTCTCTCCTTCATCTGAATTTTCCCATATGAAAACTTTATTTCCAACCTGGCAATGTGCTGCCCAGATAACCTAAATAATGATGTAACTGATCAGTCAGTCAATGTCCCCTGCTGAGCTAAATCAAACTCCACCAGGAGAAAACCCTGTTATGTCTCCGGGCCGAAACCAGCAGGCTGAAGGACAGTTTCTTCCACCGGGCCATTTAACTGACAGTCACCACACACTGTATTTATGTCATGGCTCCTCCTAGTGGCAAGTACTGATCATCAAATTCTTCAGTGATTTTCTCTTCCCAGTTTTGAGCTTCCACAGGGTCACAAGGGACTGGAGCTCATCTTACAGGTCAACACTCAGTGAAGAGCCGAAGTTAAAGCAGTCGACCACATACAGGATACAGTGCATGTGTACGACGCTGCCCTACCTGAGATTATCCGACAGGCGAAGGTAACAGCGAACAACATGCTTCAATAGGCGAGCGGATGGTTCTTTAGACAGCTGGAGAACCATTTTTCCCTGCAAAGAAAAAGATGTAAACATGTGACTGATATTGCGTCTCCTTTTATAACCGATAGTGGCACACTGTGCAGAGAGACTAGCACGGTAAGGGACACTTACAAGGATCATGGCCACGTGGGAGAAACGTTCATACGTCTGACATATATAAGCCAGCCCTGTGTCATCCAACAGGATCTTCTGCAGTATGAATGTAGCAACCTGCCAAACAAAACGGTGAGATGTTACCTGAAGTTACAGCCCTGTTCGTCACTAAAGCTCTTAGTTAATATATTATTGTATTCTTTACAAATTAAGAGGGACAATTAAACAGTGATACATGCAACAAGCAACAGTTTGGGAGCAATAACTGGTATTAGAGCTGGACTTCTTTGGTTTAAAAAAAGAAAAGAAAGGAAACAGACTGAGGAGTTAACCAGTGTAGCTGATAATGAAGTTAGGGGACCGTTTTAAAAGCAGCTGGAACAGTTCAGTACCGTCTTGGAGAGCTCACTCCCTGACTCCATGATGCGGAGACATAGTGGGATGATTTCAGTGGTGAGGAGGAAGTTAATCACTTCTTGTTCGTCTGTTTTCACCAAGGCGCCTGCAGTAAACACAGAGAGACAGATGATGAAGACACAGTTCTGTGGAAATTAACCTCAATCAAGAAATAAAAACACCTGAGCAGGAGTAAAAAGGTTACCTATGACTCCGAGGCTGGTAAGTCGCAGGTACTCAAACGGTCGTGTTTTGCTCACAGTGTGTAGAAAAGGGTAAAGGAAGAGAGGGATGTGAGCAGCGAGAAAAGCTGACCTGGTAGGGAACAAAGAAGTAAAAGCATTTTAAATCATCGTGACCAGACCTGTGCAACACATGTTCCTGTGTCAATAAAAAGCGTCTGATAAACAAGTCGGTTCTTTTCAGGCTCACAAGAAACACACAAATCCTTCAAACAAATGTAGTTTGGCAACTTTTTGACTGTGTTCGCCATCACTAACATTAAAAGACAAGTCAGTTACTGCAGTTTTTCCTTTAACCGAACCTCCCATTACCTCGTCTCTGGGTGTGAGGCGACACACTGCAGAAGAGCCAGAGCATTACACACTCTGTTAGACTGGTGAGCTGTAAGCGTAGGGGGGTTTATCGATGGATAGATGTTCACTATTTCCTAAAAAGAGAAAAGAAAGAAGATAACAAGAGCAATCAGTTAACCGTAAATATAACAAACATAATAAACATACACACAGGGATGCACGATATATCGGCATTAATATCGGT